CTTCAAAAAGTTCTCAAGTGTGAAAATGACTGAAGTCAACACACCCTTATATAGGCAAAATGAGAAGGCGAAGGGTCATTCCCAAATTCAAAATTTGGGCGGGAAAATCTCCCGGCTTTTCACCAAGCGACACTTGTCGCAGGCCGTCGCCTGTTACGGTGCGACACCTGTCACAGGTAGCACATGACCAGTCACGTGCCACCTGTGAGGGGCAAATGATTAGGGGATTTTTATCACCAATCACCGCCTGACACGTGGACCAACCAGGACCCGCCACGTGTCCTTCACGTGGGCCAATGGGAGCCTGCCACGTGTCAACCACATATTCGTCCACCACGGACCAATTGAGACGCAACACGTGTCCTTCCCATGACACATGGGAAAAACAGCCAACAGGGCCCAATCCTGTTTGGAGGCCCAGTCAGCCCTAGGTTTACCCTAAACCTAGAGAGTGGCACGCTTCCCAAGGTTATAAATACCATCATTAGTCCTCATTAAGGGGGATTACGCACATTAAACACTCTCACCTAGAGAGACCAAAACACTTTTATTTCCGCAGTAATTACTCCTTAATCAAGGACTAACTTGACCATTGGAGGCGGATCTCCAATCATCCGGAGCATCCGTTTGTTTTGCAGGTACAGGCGTCCGGTTTCAGTCTCGGAATTGTAACTCTCCCGTAGGACACAAAAAAACCCCGAAACAGAAATGATTGTGAACAGCCTACAAAACCCAACAGTAGCAGGCTGTGCAGTTAGCCGAAGCCCAACACTTGCAAAAAAAAAAAAAAAAAAAAAAAAAAAAAAAAATTTTTTTTGCAATACAAGTGTAAGTAAGGTACCTGCATCAGAATCCTTTGGTTCTCCAGAAGGGGATGGGGCACGTTTTCCAATGACTCAGCAGCCCCTGCAGCAGCGCCCTGCATCCAGACCTTGGCCCTCTCAATGGCTGAAAGGTTGCCCAGATTGCCGAAATAGGAGAGGGCAGAATCACGCCTCTCCTCAATGATTGCACGGGCATGGCCAGGAACAGGAACCAAGGGCGCTGAGCCGAACCCCATCTCAGCTGATTGAAAGGTGCGGAAGGAGGTCGCAGCTGAACTGGAAGGGATGTTCGTATGCGCGGACATTGCAGCGTCGTTCAGCCGCGGCTCACCCTCTCCCTCCGCAAGATTTGGATCCTCATCTTGGATCCCCATCACTTCAACCTCGTGCTGAACCTCTGTAGAAAATGGCTCAGGCACATGCTGAGGAGACGAGGGGTCAGGCACATTGACCACCTCCATGAGCACTTCCCGAGAGGGGGAAGTAACCTCAACCGCTTCCTGGACCTCTGCCAGCCGAGGCCTCTTCACAGGAAGCTCTGGTGCTCTGAACTGGCCGGGCCGAACCAGAGGTCTTCTCCTTCCGCCAGCCATATTCTCGGCAGCAGGTTCAGAGGGGGCAGGCTCTTCTTTCTCTACCTCTTCCTCCTCCTCGGACTGCAGAAGCAAAGAAAGAGGGGGGCAAGAGTATAAGCAGAAGAGACAAAAAAAAAACAAACAAACCACAACACAATAACAGGCAGCAAGTAGGCTCAAAGCAGAAGCACACAGATATTTCGGCCGAGGCCACATACTTAACAGTTTTAGCAAAACGAAACTATATCAGACAGAGATGCATCCGAAGAACTACACTTAGCAGAATCTACGTGCAAATTCAAAGAAAGCTACGTGTAACATGCATGCTCAGAAGCTGAAGCTACGTATTAACATATTCAGAAAAATGCTTTATAAAGACAAACAATCAAGAAGCCGAAGATATAAAGTTGGGAAAGTTAATAAGGACTAACCGAAGGACCAAACAGCTCCTTGGTATCTTCAGACTCCGAGTCTTCTTCTCTAACAGGCTGGGATGGAGGAGGCGGTGTCTGTACGTCACCTCTTTCAGCAGCAGCAGCAGCAGCAGCAGCAGCCTCCTCTTCAGCTGAGAGTAGGAAGAAAGGGTCGATCTTCTTGAACCAAGGCTTCTGCGCCAGATACTCGAAAGCACTAACCACCTCGAGCTTCCTCGGCTGCAACGTCAGTGGTCGATCCTTCACAGCTGTGATAGGAGGAGTGTTGGTGATTGGCTCTCTGGTCTGGCTGATCCCCAGCAGATCGTAGTCAATGCCAGATGTCTCTTCGCAGATAGCTGAAAAAAATAGCAGAGCAAAACGTTAGGTTTGAACGAAAAGCTTCGGATCGAGAAAAAACTAAAAAGCAGGAAATCAATGCCTCGGCCCCAGCCGAATCACTTACCACCTTGGTATCTTCGGCTGAGGCCTGCAACGGCTAACATCTTCTCTTGGAAGATGTAATGGTAGCAGGGCAACCAAACGGTAGGCACGATGGTCATTCGGCCTGTTGCACCAGGATTAGTTGATCTGCCGAATAGCTCCATTTGCATACGGTCAGCCTCGGTGAAATCATCGTCGCCGATACTCGACATGGAGGGATCTGGCTTCCTGACATAGCGAGGCCCCCCGAAATAATTAGGGTGGCCCTCATCTGAAGGAGCTCGCACCCAGATCCACTGCTCCCGCCAATGCTTATCCGAGGTATCGTTCGGATAGCAGGTCAGGTAGCCCCTCTCATCTTCTATGTGCCACCAGCCGCGGCCATGCACTCTGCTAGACTGGGTGTTCGGCGACAGCTTGTGAATGCATCTGAAGCAATGAACACTTGGCCTCAGCCCGTAGAAGATGCACACCCAGAGATAAGTCATGATCCTCCTGATGCTGACAGGAGTTAGTTGGGCCAATGATATATTGTACCCATTCAGAACTTCGGTGACGAAGGGGTGGACTGGGAATCGCAGCCCGAACTGCAGCTGCCGAACATAAACCCCAATGTAACCAGGAGGGGGCCGATAGACTCTCTCCAGTACCGTGGGCATTCGGCACCAATACCCATCGGCTTCCATTATGCCGTAATAAATCTCCAGCTGCTCGGCAAAGTGGTACCGAGCATCGTTTGCCAGCCACCATTCGGCTGGCTCGGTCTTCAGCAGACCATCGTTCTCATTCTCATCGGTCCATTCCCTCTCTTCAGGGGTTAGGGGCCGAGATCTAGTAGGACCCCTTCGGCCAGAAGTACTTGCTTCAGCTGGCTCTCTTGGAGGGGCACTGTTTAGCGGAATAACCCTTAATCCCTCCCCACTCGAGGACGAACCAACCTCAATTCGGGCGTTAGGGTTTCGGCCGCTCAAAAACGGCATAACGGGCAGAGGACGGTTCCTCTTCCGAACTAGTTGCGGCACCTCCTCCTCAATGTCCTCGTCTTCAGGCTCCATTGGCCTTTTACCAGGGTTGCCGGCCATAGCTAGGTCGACGGCGACGCGAAGAAATGTAGGAAAAAGGGGAAAAGCTTAAAAAAGGGGGAATCCGAATGAAATCCGGAGAAAATTACCTTTATCTGACTCGGAATTCGCCGATTTAGCGGTTCGGAGCAACGAATTCTGCTGAAAAGCTTCGGAAAAGTCGGAAATTGATAAAAGAAAAGGAGAGTTTTCGCGAGTTCGCTGGAAAAATAAGAGTGAAATGCGGAGTGTGTTTGATTTGGGAATGCCGGAAATGATTGTGCTAAATGCAAATTATATACTTGGCGCAAAAACCCACTCACTTAAATGTCAGTTGCAAACTCTTCAAATTCTCCTCAAAACCAGTTACAAAACTACCTGGATTTAATTTCCCACTAAATCCACTCCACTTCCCCACTACTCTTAATTAACCGTCATTAAGGTTATTTAATCCTTATTAACGGTTACCTTAACCGTATTGAATTGTCAAAAATATTTAAATTATTTTTCATTTATTTTCCCTCCAAATCCTTCAGCTGCTGAAACCCGACCCGTTATCCTCACGAATCGGGTCTGGGGGGCAAGTTGTTTGGGGTCCAAAATGCTTACAATTTGGCCCAGTCTACAAATGAAAAATAGTCAAAGCCCAAACAATAAGGTCCAACCCTCTAATGTATTTGCCAAGTCAAAAGTAACAAGGCCCAATCATATGGCAGCCCATTTGATTGATCAAGCCCAATCTAACTCATGGAACAAAGGTATAAAAGCTTTCATTTTAACACAATTATATTCATTCACATTAAATGCCTCAAGCAACAAATACTCTTGCATAGCTTTTCTCTAATACTTGTGCATCCGTACTGACTTCGGCATCGGAGGGGCCTTCCTCGGCACACCCCCCGAGGCTAGTTTACGTTTGCATTGCTGTGCAGGAAATCCCCAATTCAGTCACCACTTGAATTGGGCTTCGTCTCCACTCATCCGAAGGGCCAGCTGAAGGCCCATTGTTTTCTGACCGAAACAATTATTTTTTGATGCATTATTGCTCTATCACAATTGCAAAAATACAAAAATACTCGTAAAATATGAAATGGATTATGAAATGCATCATTATTTTTTGATGCATTATTGCTCTATCACGATTGCAAAAATACAAAAATACTCGTAAAATATGAAATGGATTAGATCATTAATACAACAGTTAAGTTAATTTGTCTTCTTCAATAGTCCTTTAATATTTTTAAATCCTAATAAGTTTCTTTAGTTCTGATGGATAACCACTAAATTATTTTGTTCCTACAGTACTCCCGACTATAAATTAAGTCACAATCAAAAATTTGAAGAGAGATAGCACATTCGAACGCTGAAGAAGAGGTAAGTTGAAAATGTCTTTGATTAATCACAAACGCTTATTATTCAAGTATGTCAGCAATATTATCGTAACCCATTTCATATTTTACTGTTAATTTGATTATGTAGAATTATCATACCCCATTTCACATGTTTGATTGGAAAAAAGGCTCAATTTTGATATCTCTGAAAACCCTTCAAAGTTTATGATTATTTGCCCTTCTTGTTAATTGTAATTATTTATTAGCACAGCTAGTTTTTTGGGCCCGTTCGATGCCCGGGTGGTATGAAAGAAAGATAGATACTCCGGTATCTGGGTCATTTGGGGTATGATGTTTAGTATTCTAATGAAAATTTACTTAATGAGAGTAAAGGGGTGTTGGATTGAGTTTTTACTGTTTAGTGGAATTGTGTAATTGAGTGTTTGCTGCTTATATGGTGTTCAATTTGACCAATTATTCAGACACCCTATTTTTTTTTTTTCTTTTTTTTTTTTTCATTGTCTAAGATTTTAGGGGTAAGGCTGCGTAAATCTTGACCTCCGGATGCTATGTCTATGGCATGATTTATATCTGGTTGTATCGTTGTTGTTGTTGTTGTAGTGCTTGGTGTGTGACAAGACTATTGTAGATGCTTTGGAGAAATAGTAGCAATAAATTTATGAATGATTCAAGTTGTTAGAAATTGAATATGTGTTTTAAGTTATGTAATTCATTCAAGAGGGGGAATGAGGGAATTTGATTGGTGACCAAGAAGAATAGTATTCTGATTCTTTAGAGAAGTATATAGAAGTGGATGAGGGACTGAGGCTGTGTTCTCTTCAACTTATCTATGCTGAATTGATTTAAATTGATCTTTTTTCGTGCTTAACTGAGTTTATGCTTATTTCTTTGTTATTCATCTAATTTCTATTGAGATGCACAAGGAAACTTTATTTTAGGTGAAATACACATCCTAGCCCGGGTCTTGGTTCTGTCATTCTACTGGTCATTATATTGTGTATACTAACTCTTTCCAGCTTCTTGGTGAGTGCATGCAGTGACATTTATTCAGGCATGATGGAGAACTATGAGGAACACAGTGGCGATGTGTATGATGATTGTTCAATCAAAATGGTTAGTTTTACATGTATTTTATTACTTAGTCAGCATAATTTTGTATCATAGATTGAACTATTATATGCTTGTTTTGCTTCAGAGGGTCAATCCTAAAAGGAGACGAGATAAAGTTTATGTTGGTTGTGGAGCTGGCTTTAGTGGTGACAGGCCAATGGCAGCTTTTAAGTTGCTTCAAAGTGTGAAGGAGCTTAACTATATTGTACTTGAGTGTCTTGCTGAGCGCACTCTAGCTGACCGGTACAAGGAGATGATATCTGGCGGAGATGGTTATGACCCACGCAGTATGTTTGCTGTATTTCTTGGCTACTTGCCATTGGCTTTTATAAGATATGTCAATCTGCTTTATAAGTCTTAGTGTGCTTTGACCCTCCCTCTCTTATTGAAGAAGGAAGTAGAATGTGCAACCAAAATCAGTTTTTTGTGTATGGATTAGTTTCTACTCCATTAATTTTGTCTTTTACATACATGCAGTTTCGGAGTGGATGCACTTGCTTTTACCTCTGGCTGTGGAAAGGGGAACATGCATAATTACAAATATGGGTGCAAGTGAGAGCTTTTTTTGTTTGGTTTGTGTAGTGTAGTTGAGATCATGGATACATTCTAAGTATTTTTCCATTCATTCTTTCTGATTCCTTCTATACAAAAGTGGATCCAATTGGTGCTCAGCTAAAGGTCCTTGAAATTGCAAACAGCCTGGGGCTTAGTATAACAGTTGTTGTTGCACATGAAGTTGCCTTCAAAGATCCAGGTAATACTTGTTTGAATGTTAGGGAAATTTTTTTGAATTTTTTTTGTACTTAGGTAACTGGTGAAAGTTAAATTTGATATCATTATAGCTTACTAAGTCCCTTCCATTGTATTTTCTTTCTCTAAAATTCAGGGTCAGCATCCTCACATGATAGGTCTTTTGTCATGGATGGTGTAAGAAACTGACACCCTTGCAGTAGTATCATAGAGTTGGTATTTTCATTTTGATTGGAAAAAAGTTGTCTCTTTGGTACATATTGGCTTATTCTATATTCCTTGTCATTGAAGGGTATTAGCACATATCTAGGTGCGGCACCAATTGTCAGGTGTCTTGAGTTATACAAGCCAAATGTCATCATTACTAGTCGTGTAGCAGATGCTGCCCTATTCTTAGGTCCAATGGTGAGAATTTTCTTGTTGTGCCTCTTGCATGCAATTGACAGCATCATATTTCTGTTAATGTGCCTTACAGTTTGGGAGATTAATATTATCAAGGTAGATTGTTTATTAAACTACAATTCCCTGGCAGTAGGACTTATTGTGTACACATTTGGTGTTGAACAACTGGCATCTTTTTCACCTGATTTTTTATGAGTTGGCTGCTTAGGTTTGACCATCAAAGGAACAAGGATTGTGAATATATTGTTGGACTTGTACTTACTAGTTGCTACTATGCAGTTTTTCCTTTGGTAAAATCTACAAATGTTGGTTGAGCTGCAAAAATATATTTGTTTGCATTTTACTTCTATTTTGATTGTCAGTAGTCTATACTTTGATTAACAGGTTTATGAGCTGGGCTGGAATTGGGATGATCTGGAGCAGCTAGCACAAGGAGCTTTAGCAGGGCACCTTTTAGAGTGTGGTGGTCAGCTGACTGGAGGATATTTTATGCACCCAGGTTAGTTTTTCTTTTGACAGTTTCTATGCTTCAACATTCTATATTTTTCTGAATTTGGAATTTTATTTACCCCATGTAGGAGACAAACACAGAGATATATCTTTTCAGTGTCTTCTGGATTTATCACTTCCATTTGCTGAAGTCAATTACCTGGGAGAAGTATGTGTGGCCAAGGCTGATGTTAGTGGTGGTGCTCTGAACTTTAGTACTTGTGCTCAGCAGCTTCTCTATGAGATTGCAGATCCAAGTGCCTATGTCACTCCTGATGTGGTAACGTGTCTATTCTATTTTATAATGTGTTGATGGGTGGAAATGGTTGATTACAGAATAATTTTCTTCTTCTGAAGCAGGTCTTAGATATTCGTGATGTTACGTTTGAACCCTTAACTAGCAGCAAAATTCTCTGCACCGGAGCAAAACCCTCAGCTACATCAACTCCTGAGAAACTTCTGCAACTAGTACCAAAGGTATGGATGATTCTTATCTTTCTGATCTAGAGTTGAGTAAAGAAACGTCATCGTACACAATACACATAAAATACGTCATTTAATCTGTTAATCCTTTTGCAAGTGACATAATACATGTCTGCCTTTTTGTCCTGTTATGTTCTGGATTGTGCATTATTTAGTAGCTTTTTTATTTTATTTACTACATATTTATATATTTGTGAATCTTTATCCAATTGTTCTCTATCTGGTTTAGGAGTCTGGATGGAAAGGGTGGGGAGAGATATCTTATGGAGGTTATGAATGCGTTAAACGTGCAAGAGCAGCTGAGTATCTGGTAAATATGCTGTTCTGTGATTCCTTTTGAATTTCAATCGTACTTGCTGTACAATGTAGGAGTACATTCTGAGACATGACTGAAGTACTGCTGCAAGTTAATCATTTTTGACAATCAGGCTTTGTGTGTTTCAATGTTTCATATGCGTTTAGGTTAGATCTTGGATGGAAGAATCATATCCAGGCATTAATAGAAATATAATTTCTTACATTATTGGACTTGATAGCCTAAAAGCACTCTGCAATGAAAGTATTACCTCAATAGCAGCTGGGTGCCGAGACATAAGGCTACGCATGGATGGACTATTTGAGGTTGAGGAGCATTCAATCAAATTTGTCAGAGAATTCACTGCTTTATATACAAATGGGCCTGCTGGTGGAGGTGGTATAAGGTAAATCACCCTCTTGCCTTGATATATACTGCATTTCGTTATAAAATGAAACATGCAGAACCATCTAAACATAACGAAGTTAGTCTACAAAACTCAATCTCCTCACTTGCAGTTTTCAGTTGCTTCCTTGTATATCACAATTCCTTAATTGATGTTTGTGTTATTCATCTGCTTACTTTCTGTTCTATTGCAGTACTGGGCACAAGAAAGAAGTACTTTTGGTAAAACAACTGGTATGTATCCCTTTTTAGCAGCTTCAAATGTTAAATTTCTGCTCTGGATTGACCTGTATTTTCAGTTAGCTCAGAAGTTGTATGCTTGGCTATGAAGTGATCAAGTGACACGAATCACATGAGTAAATCTTTGTAGGTCGGACGCGAGTCTATCTTCTGGCATATTAGGGCTAAGAGCACAAACATGGCTAACACACATGACCATGAACACAAGATGAAACGAATAAAAATGCCAACTTCCATTTCAGACGAGTCAGTTCCATTACCTGATGGGCTTATTGATTTGTCTGATCAGAACCTTGAAATAATATCTAGTAAATATCCAAGTTTTCCTGCACCATCAGGCAAGAAAGTTCCTCTGTATGAAGTTGCACATATCAGGGTCGGAGATAAAGGCAATGACATGAACTTTTCCATTATTCCCCATTTCTTTCAAGATATCAATAGGTTGCAGGTGATAATAAGTCCTGAATGGGTGAAGAAAGTGTTGTCTCCTCTGTTGAACCCTTCTCCATTTCCGCATCCAGATGCCATTTCAAAGAGAGATAAATGGGTCAAAGAAAATGTTAAAGTTGAGATTTATGAGGTCAAGGGCATTCATTCGTTGAATGTTGTGGTTCGCAATATTCTTGATAGTGGTGTCAACTGTTCTAGGAGAATTGATCGTCATGGGAAAACCATATCAGATATCATACTGTCCCAGCAAGTCATGTTGCCATAACTACCGTTCAGTAACAAATTGTATCAAATTTCAGAAATCGCATTAAGATTATAGGCTGAATAATTCAAGGATTGATAACTTGCAAACTTATATCCAATAACTGCTATATTATATGGAAATAATACCGGATTTTTTTGGTGATTTTAAACAAATACTATGTTGGTTTCTACGTCCCCCAGAAATATTGTATTTTCTCGTTTATCTCTGATTTGACTGACTGAACTCTGAAGGTTATAAGTAACATTTTTATCATATTTGGGCTTGGGGTGATGGTTGACACTGCTAATGAGGTAATGTCTTTATCTATCATGTCTAGCTGATCTATGATCTCTTTTCTTTTCCTGCCTTTCTTTGAGCTTGAGGATTCATTAAAATGTATTGCAGTTTAATCAGGGGCGGATCTATATTCAATGTAATGGGGTCAATTAACCCCACTAATTTTGTAAAAAAAAAAAAAAAATCTCATAGAATTATATAATATGAGAAAAGTGATATAATTTGTTAGTTTATAATTAATTATAATACAATGTATTTAATTTTGACTTAATTTGAACCCACTTATATAAAATGCTATATTCGACACTGCTTTTAATATCTTGACAATATTTTATAAAGCTTACTTACCAATATTTTCTGTTAAATTATTTATTCTATTTATTTAGGTCGGACCTATAATGGTATGCAAGTAATGCACATTTCAATTATGTAATTGATCCAAATGAACCTTATTGTTGATTATTTTTACATATATGTGGGCTATATCTTTAAAGATCTTGTCTTCTGTTAAAGAATTATTGTATGATATATATTAAATCTCTATTTAATATATTCTTGAGAATCTATAAAAATAAAGGGCTAAATCAACTTCACCTTCTAACAAAACAAATGTCAATTTTTCTGATATTGCATCGTTTGGAAAAAGTCATACCACCCTTCATTCTCTCTTCCACATTTAGTGCCTAGCCTGCAGTTCTCACCTCATAATTTTTGGATGTCTTTTTTCAAACCATGATTTCTTTGGGAGCTAATAAACTTAGCAAACGGGTCGTATAAATTAGTTTTTGATCGGACAAATTAGAGACTTTGTTCAAACTGATCAATAGTCCAATTTGAGGCTGTGGCTTAGGATTTGCTGCATAGAGATGCTTTGACAAATCCCTCTCTTTGATATATATCTTTCTTTCTGTGGGTTGGGGATTCAAGAAGTTAACTAATGATTTGTTGCTGATCATACCTTGATATTCGATAATAAACACAATTTCGTAGAAATTATTTTATGCGAAAGAGTTGCAAATATGGCATTTACTGGAACTCTTGACAAATGCAAGGCTTGTGACAAAACTGTCTATTTTGTGGATTTGTTATCAGCTGATGGGGCAACTTTTCATAAGTCATGCTTCAGATGCAGCCACTGCAATGGAACACTCGTGGTACGTTTCTTTTCCGCTACAATGTCATATTATTGCTAACAATGTCTTCAACTCTTGTAGAATTTCTGAAGATACATTTATGTCCCTTTGATTCTCGATCCCACATTTCATTTGCTATTTTTATTATTGGCCTCCTAATTTCCTGACTTCACCTGTTTCTCGTTTCTAGAATTTAAAATGTGACGTTCATATTATCTGATTACATATCCTAAATAATAATGAAGACATAATGTAATATAGAAATGTACAAATAATTTAATTGTTGAATAACTTTGTTACATTGACAGATGAGCAACTACTCTTCGATGGATGGAGTCCTCTACTGCAAAACTCACTTTGAACAACTATTCAAAGAATCCGGAGATTTTCGTAAAAACTTTCAAACAGGTACATGTTACTCTGTAAATAATTCAGATATTCATAAATCTCTTCAATTTTTCATACTTTGTATATTTTTCTTACAATTTTCCTCCTCAGGGCCCAAGACAGATCGCCAATATGAGCAGGTAAATTTCCATCATATACTTTGTATATAAATTTCCATGTTTCATGCTTTGTCTCATTTTATCCCTTTTTCCAAATTTTTACAGAAATTGTAATCCCATTTTACTCTGTTGATTTCTCATTGATTTTATTATTGTCATTTTCTTTGAGCAGGGCAGGACCCCTAACAAACTCTCTTCTTTCTTCTCTGGAACCCAAGAAAAGTGTCCTGCTTGTAATAAAACTGTCTATCCGTTGGAAAAGGTCAGATTTTCTTACGTTCAATCCCTAAACCCAATCTTGTTGTTTGATTGTATAGTTCCATTTGTTTATTGTTGAAGAATTCAACCATGATTTTAGGAAGGTGAATACGAGTTTTTATTTTCCACAAATCTTTTACTGAATTGGCTAATTTAGCAAACTATTTATCAAAATGGCTATTTTCAAATCTTAATTCCAAAACTAGTCATAATATTAACTTGGAAGGCATATGATGACCCTTTAACAACCATAAATTCTTCTAATGTGACCCGGTTTGGTTTATTACGCCCTCCCAACAAAATATACGGAGTAGAAAAGATCGTAAATGGAAGTAGTCTATCTAATTGAATGATCTAAGGAAGATAAAAGCTGATTAATTCTTGTAGCCATGGTAGTTAACCCGACACATTCATCTTCATTTTCTTTTACGTTGACAGATAACAATGGAGGGAGAATCCTACCACAAGACATGCTTCAGGTGTGCTATTGGAGGGTGTTCTCTTACACACTCATCCTATGCTGCTCTCGACGGAATCCTCTACTGCAGGCACCATTTCCAGCAGTTGTTCATGGAGAAAGGATCCTACAGTCATGTAAAGGCTGCTGCTAAAAAGAATGCATCATCTTTAGTCGAAGCAAGAGAGGACGAACCAGAAGCCAATACAGCTGAGCTAGTAGTCGAAGCTAAAGCCGCAGTAGAAACTGAGACAATTCCTGCAGATAAAACCGCTGAAGCATAATCTTAAAAAAAGGATTTTAATATCATTTTAGCTCCTAACCTCAACAGCTTTCTTGTATGGATTTTACTGGCCTTCGGGCATTTCTAATCGTTTTTAGCTCCCAAATGAGTCAGGAAATTTTCCCTTAGTCACAGAAATTTCAACAATGTAATTTTTAATTTTATTGACATGTTTGGCCATTCAATTTGTCATGGTGAACTAGTGTGTAGCCCGGGCGTTACACTGGGTTGCTACTTTAATTATCCCTTGTGATTATATGTATTTGATATTTATAATGTCTTTTTTTTTTTTTTTTTTTTTTTTTTTTTTTTAATTAGACCTTGTGATTATCAGTTATATACATTTATTTTCATGTTTATAACATAGTTGATAAATGGCTTAGATGGTTTAATAACCATCCTTCTTATAAGAGATTGGGTGTACGAATCCCTTTATCATCAATTTTAGGTGACTTGGCGTGGTTTACGTGGCATAGAGACGTTTTTAGTAACGCCTTTTAATATATTAGTATAGATATTTCTTTCTTTTTTTGTAACACTTGAGATAATTTATAAGACATTTTGTATTGTTTATATTTCACATGGTATTTTGTCATTTTATAGTCTCCATAAAAAAATGTCGAACTTCATTGTATTGAATTTCCAATTCGTTCTAGATTTGTACTTTATGTAGAGTTTTTTTTTTTTTTTTTTTTTTTTTTCAAATGCCAAGTATAGGATATGAAAGGTGTCCCCTACGACTATACCTAAGAGGTTGACCTAAGTAGGTTTGTGTAGAAAAAATTGGTATTTCATAAAATGAAAACAAGGATATGAAAAAGAAATATTTATATGGTGTAATGGAGAAAATGTAAAAATTGGATAAGAAAGACTTGTCAATAAGATACCTTTATCAATATTAGATTGGATAAAAATAAGATGAAAGAAACCACAAATTAAATCATGAATACATGTGCACGATATTCAATATGCATCTAAATAACACAAGGATATATAGTGTATTTTTAATAAATGGGATATGCTTTATTCTAAATAAACTATAAAATAAAAAGAACATCAAAGTATCTTGTATTCGTTAATCAAGATATCATAACTCTTTTACATGTACTTTGTACATACATTTGTGTTCTTGTGGTGCAAAGTGAAAATTGTGCACATGTACAATTTGTTATGCCACTTTATCTCAAATTAACTCGACAAATGGTTGTGCGCTCCGTATATAAAAGAACATACAATTGATAAAGTTATTTGTAAAATAAACACTTTGATCTCATACATGATTACCCTAATCTTTTAAAAATATTCCATAATTTTTTTCTTCTCCATAGTAGTGATGCTACATTTCCACTTCATTTTTTGTTTTTTTAAATTCCCTAATTTTTTACTTTTCAAAAAAATTTTTATTTAATTTTGGAAACATACTTTTCATTTTTCCAACCTATCCATATATTGTTGTTACGATTCTTACAAAGTATACAATCTTTTATTGTATCGTGTCGATATCGTGCAACTCTCTTTTTGATAAACAATTTTTATATAAATTAAATCATTTATCATTCAATTTTTTTTTTGAAAACATCATTTATCATTTATCATTCATTATTTCATTATAATCATACATTTGTTATTATTTACTAAATGTAATTTTAGGATAACACTCTTTGTGATGATGATTTTTTTCTTTTTATTTTTGAGTGATGAATACGAAATATTTTTTTAAAGCATAATAATGATAGTGAATACCAAGTAGACCTTTATTACGGAGTTATTTATTACGATTATTAAATTTAAAGTAATTGATTTATGATGTTGCTTTTATATATCCCTTTGTTAAAAAGCTTTTGTCAAATTCTCATTATTGTCGGTTTCTTCAATATTTCTTTATTTTCTTTTTGGAAAAAAATATTTTTAAATTTACTGTATTCATCATTTTCTTTTACCCAAATTAGTAATTTATCTCTCCAAGATAATTTACACTCATACTATCTCCGACCTTCATTTTTAATTTTCTCTCGATCACAATTCACAATTACAACTTCTCCAAACTAAACAAAAAGCTTCGTTCTTAATTGAAAAAAAAAAAATCCCTCTTTTTCCCCCTATATTTTGATCTTTACCATGAGCAAACCCTAATTTCGTACTCCCGAAATCTTCATATTCAAATTCAAATTCAATTACTTTTACAATTAATTACTCCTATCGCACTTTAATTTGAGCCCCTCAAATTTTCGCAGTTTCGAAACCCTAAAATCTTCTCGATTTTTTTCTTCTCATTGATTAATTTACAATCTTCTTTCCTACTTTTTTTTTTAGTACAGATCTGAAATCTTTGTTAGGCATTTAAGTTCATAATAGTGGCACTTTTTTTGGACGTCCACTATTCTTCTTCGAATTCGCAAAAATTCGGATTGTGTATATACATATAATCTTTAGGATTTCTGGGTTTTCTTTTGTTTAGGTTTAGATTTCTGGGAAATTTTAGGGTTTAGATTTTGCGAATTTCGAAGATGAATGACAACATTAGAGGTCGTTATCCTCCTGGAATGGGCAGAGGTAGAGGCGGAATGGGCGTAGATGTAGGCGGCGGAGGTGGTGGTGGAAACCCTAATTTTCAACGTAGGAATTATGAACAGCAGCAACATTACGCGCAAAGAGGGATGATGCAGAATCATCATCAGCAACAACATCAGTTTCAACGGCAGCAACAACAGCAGCAACATCAACAACATTTTCAGCATCATCAGCAACAGTTGCAGCAGATACAACAGCAACAGAATCAGCAGCAGAAGCAGATGCAGCAGCAGCAACAACAACAGCAGCAATGGCTTAGGAGGGGTCAGTTAGGGGGTATAACGGAGGCCGGTGTCGACGAGGTTGAGAAGACAGTGCAGTCCGAAGCAATTGACACGAGGTATTGAGAATATTTAGTTTCTTTTTATGGTTGTATTGATTGTTACTATATTATTTTTGGTTCTTGATGTTTGTATTAGTCGAATGTTAGGATTTATTCAATACACATTATTCAAGAGGGGGAAAAGAATTGAGGTTTATCTTTTGAAATTTTTGGAGAATGCCGGTTTTAGCTACAGTGTCAGGATGCTTTTTTTTGCCTCATTTCCTTGGAAATCTAGTTAAAAAAAAGGGTTCAAATATGAACTTTTAGAAGAATTTGTATTAGTAGAAAAGGAAGATACTTAATGTCAACAGAAAATCCCACATAAAAGAAGTGTTGGGACGTTTTTACTATTCAATCCATATACATTGATACCACTAGATTTGACCATATGCCATTTAATGGTGGAAGTTTTGAAATTGAAACCTAGAAATTTATGTGGGCTGGGGTTTGAAAGAGTGTTGTTTGAAGATTGTAGATTGATAGTTGAAACCTGTGCCATTAAATGCTTGGGAATCTGGAAATTTTAGTCAGATTTACAAATGGTAAGTCTTTTGCATACCCATGCTATAGTCGAGCTTTTTCAATGTGACATTATAAATTAGGTGTTGATGTGTTTAGTTGTTTAGGATACTGATACATCAGGTTAAATTGAATGCTACATATGCTGGGTTTGCAAATCATAGCGATGGGTTGCATTGTCAAGTTTTCCTCCCTTTCAAATATCTAGTTCTGCTATGGTTATTGTGGATCAATCATTAATGCACAAAACTTTGTGTTATTTCTTGCTTTGCTCTGGTGTTTTTGCCATTGTAATTTAACAATTATTGTTTTTGCTAATTTTATCTTGACATGCTCTCTATTTTGATGTTCCATTAGGTTGCCCTTCTCTCTTTGTACTTCATGCCATGGAGCATTGGAGCTGGTGTTGCAGTACCTTAGTTCCTTTTGGTGCTAGTTTTCCGATTTTTGAGATCATAGAGAGGATTTAATATCTGTCTGTGGCTTTATGTGCTCTTCTGTTTGTCTTCTGATGTGTTTTGATATTAGACCTGATGCAGAGAGAAAACATTAAGATATGTGTAGGCAAAAACTGAAGCCACTGGGTTAGTTGTATGAATCTCGAGACCTAAGTGAAGATATCATTGTTTTTTGTTTTTTTTTGCTCTTGAGTGCCTTGATGCTTATCCACTGAGTTTTCTTTTGGCATAGATCTTATGCAAATTAGAACATTAGATATTGTGAAGGTATGATCTGTAGGCCAAAACTGAAGCCATTGGGGTAGTTGTATGAAACATGAGACCTTAGTAAAGCTATACTTGATTTTGTTTCCTTTAAGTGCCTTGCTATGTATCTACTGAGTTTCTTTGACATAGATCTAATGCAGATTAAATTATTTAATGTAAAATCTGATGAAAGTTAAAAATGAAATTTTTCTTGCTTTCTAGTGCATATGTGTGTGCATGCACATCTGCGCTTGTCTCTCTGCTAATCTGTCATGCTGCCTGTATATCTTTGGACAGATTTCTATGTTTCTTGTTGCACTATATAGTGTATGTCCTTATATTTTACTGATCGTTACCTTTTGTACTGTTGTCTAGTACACAAGATTGGAAGGCAAGGTTGAAGTTACCACCACCAGACACACGCTTTAGGACAGAGGTAAGAATTTGGGATTTGTATGTGGGTTTTGTTGTTTACTGCTTACTGTTTGGGCTGCTACATTAGATACTGGTTTATGACTTTTCATGGTTATTTTTTTTATGCTATGTTATGCTGATGCTAAGCTAAAGTGTATTGGTGGTAGTAGTGCAAGGCTTAAGATTAGTGAGAATTATTGAATGGAGCTAACAATATTATATTAGGCACGATTGAGTATATGAATAACATGACTAACTTGGTAACTGCTGATTGACATCTTTGAAATGCATTGGAAATTTATTGTTTTAATTTATTTTTTTCGTCATTTCGTTTTTTGGAGTTCAATTTCGTTGGTAGGACTTTATTTTCCTTGAATATGAATGACATTGCTCTGGAGTGAACAGAATAATAGTTTATCTTTATTTTTGATAATTAATGACGCTTGCTAGCTATGTGTACCATTGGCTGTTAACTTATGAAATTATTATTACTATGGAGAAAAATATTGGTAAGTCATTGTGTCAAATAGATTGTGATTTATGGGCAGTAACCATATGTTATTATGTTCATTGTTTTTTCGTGAGTTGGATCATGCTTATCAATATACTTGGAAATAATTTGTTGCTAGGAGTCCTAGGACTATTTAAACATTATCTTGGAGGCTCTGATTTTAGTGTTAATCATCACAAATATGCAATTGCTAGTTTTACAACTATCTTCTGTTTCCCTCCGTATAGGATGTGACAGCTACTAAAGGGAATGAATTTGAGGATTATTTTCTCAAGCGCGAGTTATTGATGGGTATATATGAGAAGGGTTTTGAAAGGCCATCCCCTATCCAGGAAGAAAGTATTCCAATTGCGCTTACTGGGAGTGATATTCTTGCCAGAGCAAAGAATGGGACAGGAAAAACTGCTGCCTTTTGCATTCCTGCTTTGGAAAAAATTGATCAAGACAACAATGTTATTCAAGGTCCTCACTATGACTATTTTTCATTGCATATGCAGAATTTGTTGTCTTGTTATGCCTTAGTTTCTACGTTTGATTTTTTTTTAAAATTTTAAGTTGTATTGCGTCCTCGTTGCCTTTTTTGACTCTTGTAAATTGTTGAGATTTAAAAGTTATGATTGCATTTGGCTAAAACTAGTTAATTTAAGTTGAAGGTTATGGTTGCTCATATCTAATTCCATCTTCTAATTTTAAATTTAGAATTATATTTTTTATTTTATCACAAGAAGCGGCCAATTTATAGACTTGTAATTTCCTTGAAATCGATAAATGTAATATTAGAAAGGAAAGGTTTTTTTATGAGGTCTGTAGGGACTAGGGAGGTGTTTTTTGTTAGTTCCGTACTGTTTAGAGTTGTGATTTGATCCAGATCAAGTAATAGTGAATTTGCATTTAATTCTCTGTCATTTTATGATGACCAACTCCATATTGTAGTTTTTTATTTGATGTTCTCTGTCTTTTGGCAGTTGTCATACTTGTTCCTACGAGAGAGTTGGCTCTCCAGACATCACAGGTTTGTAAAGAGCTTGGGAAGCACCTGAATATTCAAGTTATGGTTACCACTGGTGGAACCAGTTTGAAGGATGATATTATGAGATTATATCAGCCAGTCCATTTACTTGTGGGAACTCCTGGCCGAATATTAGATCTGGCGAAGAAAGGAATTTGTGTTTTGAAAGACTGTTCTATGCTTATAATGGATGAGGTAAAAATAGTGTGCCGCGATAAAGCAAATTTCTGTTTCCTTATATTTGATGCCGCCCTTTGAAATCTGTTAGTTTTTTTGAATTTTGGATCATTAGAGACATCTTTTAAAGGTTGATAAATAATCTGGTGGTGATTTAGGGAGGGGTTGTATGTAGATCTGTCAATATCTTATGATGGAACATGTTACTTTTTGAGGGGACTCGGGGAGTTTCTTTGATCCTCGTTGCATAGTTGAGTAGTTTGATTAGGAACACTAAGCATTTTTCTCTGCAAATTTTGGAGTGTTGTTAATAACATCTTGATTTTTTCACGATTCTTCTTTTTATCTTTTCTGTACTATTGTTTTATGGATATTTCCCAATATCATATGAAGGAACATATGACATTTTGAGGGTAGTTTCTTTGATCCTTGTTGCATAGTTGAGCAGTTTGATTAAGGAACCGTAAGCAACTTTCTCTGCGAGTTCTGCAGTTAATTAGTATCTTGATTTTTCATGATTCTTCCTTTTACGATTTCTGTACTACTGTTGAACATATCTTATTTCTGTTTCATACTATTGTTCTGTAAGTTGGAATTGGAGTTTATCTTCTCATATTTTGGCTAAATTTATTAAATTACTGTAAGATGAATTTCTGTGTACAAGTTTGTTTTTAATGAGATTGTAAGCCAAGAAAGAACTATAGGAACCATAATGACATGATGTAGAACTAGTCGTGAAATTTGCCCCTGCAAGTTCTCTAAGGGAGTTTTCTGTTTTATTTTGCAGGCTGATAAGCTTTTGTCTCCGGAATTTCAGCCGTCTATAGAGCAGCTTATCCAATTTATGCCTACGAATCGTCAGATCCTAATGTTTTCAGCTACATTTCCTGTCACTGTTAAAGATTTCAAAGATAGATATTTACATAAGCCTTATGTTATTAACTTGATGGACGAGCTTACCCTGAAGGGTATAACACAATTTTATGCTTTTGTTGAAGAAAGACAAAAAGTCCACTGCCTGAACACCCTTTTCTCCAAGGTTGTGATAGTAAGCTTTTAATTAAAAATACTTTGCGTTGTTCAAAATGTTCTCTTCTGATCTGTTGTTTTATCGTTTTGAATTGGTTTCAGCTTCAAATCAACCAGTCAATTATTTTTTGTAATTCTGTGAATCGTGTTGAGTTGCTAGCTAAAAAAATAACAGAACTTGGGTATTCTTGTTTTTACATTCATGCAAAGATGCTGCAAGATCACCGCAACAGAGTTTTCCACGATTTTCGTAATGGGGCATGCCGAAATCTTGTGTGCACTGGTATGTCTACCTTTGTGCTTTGTTTGCCTTGACTCGAAAGTTTATGTAGAGGCTGCTGAATAACATCAATTATTTATTTTTGAGTTATTTAGAATATAGTTGAACTGTTTTTTATGGTTTAATTAGCTAGCACATTTGGCTTCACTTCACCTTTATTTCCAATTCCTTTCTGTTCACTTTTTCTTTGGGGTGGTGAGGTATTTAAGGATAAGAATTTTTTTTGGCACATCAAACATTTTGTAAGGGTACCTAGGTTTTTCCTGTAATATATTTAAATCTGGATGTATCTCAAAGTGCTTGATAAATTAAAGAGAATTGTTCTACAGATTTGTGTAACAAGGTACTGAGGTTTCCTGCTCTGCTTGAGTGCTTGGCATTTTATATGAAAAAACTTAATATAGTAAATAATTCATTCTGTATAGAAACATTTGGCATAGTTGGGTTTGACACTTGTACTGTAGTGCTTATCTGCAGATTCGTCCGAGTTTTCAAGCCCTAGTTTTTTCCACCTTATTGGCCATTTTGTTTTATTGATTCAATTTATTGTATACTGGTTTGCATTTTGTACTTATGAAATTTTTTTCTTCCTTGATCTGCTGTGTCTGTGTTTCTGGACTATTTTACAATTGTGCATGAATCCTTATTTTTGGATTTGTCTTGCTGTTATACACACTTTAATCAGCTTGTTGCTATCGTCTTTTGATCGTTTTGTGGTTTGGAATGACATGCAGATTTATTTACTAGGGGAATAGACATTCAGGCTGTCAATGTTGTTATCAATTTCGACTTCCCAAAGAATGCTGAAACCTACCTCCATAGGGTATGTAGTAAGTAGATCTTGGGTATTTTGCTCTTGTTATATTTCCAATATGGTTATTGACATTGTTGTTTTGATCCATTTGTGTACAGGTTGGTCGATCTGGGAGGTTTGGCCATCTTGGTTTAGCAGTGAATTTAATCACTTATGAAGACCGTTTCAACTTGTATGTATCTTGTCCTTTGGGTTCATATTCTTCTACATGCTTCGCATTTGATATATTTTTTGTTCTAATATCTTTGGTTATCTACAACAGATATAAGATTGAGCAGGAACTTGGAACTGAAATAAAGCAGATTCCTCCACAAATAGATCAAGCTATCTACTGTCGTTAAGTAGCTGAGTTTAACCGATGCTGTACTCTATGGGTGAATAGATGCTGGTCATGGTAAGTGTATTTCCAATCCTGTATAAGTGCACCGTCCCTAGGATCTCTTTGCATTTATTTGTTGTTTCCATTTTAATGATGTTTTGGTAGTTGTGTCTTGTCCCCTTTTGAAATAAATGCGACATTTCCTTAAGATTTGATCTTATGATGAATATCTTTTCAAAGATGATGTGATGTGTTGATAAGGAAAAATACTGTTGTTTACATGAAAGGAATGGCATCTACTTCAGGCTAGCATCTTTGATGTTTAACTAGGTTTTTGGCAAGGGATTGTTTTCTTCCATATATCTTAGACCTGCTTTGCATTTCATTCTCAAATTTTGATCTATATTTTGAGATCCTTGGACTGCTTAAACTGCCTTGTGTTTATCCTCGTAATACAGCCTACAGACATGAAATTGAGTATTTAGTTTTGCTGATTATTAATGTTTAGTGTCTTAAGACTCTCAAGACACAAGAATTTTGTGGTTGGATGAATACTTATGTGTTCTTTCACAGGTATGTGTATCAAGATCGGATTTTCCCAGCTCAGCATCAGAATTGTGATTACTGTAGACTTTTGGGTGATGTCTAGTTCTGTCGTCAAGTGTGTCTTGTGCAGATCTTCATGGAATGTTCCCTACTACTAGATAGTATTGTGTAGGAAGGAGATATTTTCAGGAATAACTTATTAAGATATTTAGTCAGAATGTTGCTCTGGGGTTAGATGCCTGCATTAACTGGCTGGAAGGATGTTCCATCCCTCTGTCTGACTTCCATCAACAACCTATTAGCTTGTTTCCTATCGTTTGTTGCATTTGCCGACTGAGGTAGTTGAATTTCTGGATGTTGTTCCTTGTTTGTTGTGGCAAAAAAATAAAGCACTCCATGTTCATCTGGAGTGGAGTTTTTTAGATTGTGTATAGTATTACAACCATCTTTATTTCCGTATTTCACTTCTACAAGCTCCTGGCCTGGGGGCTTTTTGGTAAAACATGGTTTGTTGACTCTTAATTCACAGGGAATTCAAATTTTTGCCTGTTTGAAGGCAGCCAGAGGGCTAGTCATTGCCATTGCTGCAGGTTGACTGTTGTCCTTAGTTCGAGTTACATGAGAACAAAGGCAGGTCTTCTTGACAAAACATCCTGGTAAGACTGGAAAAGATACTTTGTAGCTCACTTTCTTGACCAAGTTATTTTTCACCCATAAGGAAAAGGAAAAGGAAAAAAAAAAAAAAAAAAAAAAAAAAAAGGACCTAGTTAAATTTTAATTGAAGCATGAGCAGTAGCATGAGATCTTAAACGATTTCTACAAAGTATTTCATTTATATGCTGCATTTGCTACATGAATTGAAAAGCTAAACTTACATAGCTGAAAATAAGGTTAATTATGAATCATTTTCCTTACCTTACTTGAAGTTAAAAACATATATGCGTGTAAGTGGTCATATTCGGACTTGATTATACTCGAATAACATACAATCCCATCGTTTATTTATCTATTTATTTATTTGTTACTAATGCATCAAAAAATCTTAAATTTTTTGGAAAAGAGACCAAAATTGACCCATTATCACTCTCTTTGGGTTGACTACGTGAGAAAATAAGGTGGTCAGAGTGGTGATAGAACTCTTTGCCTGAATAAGCTTAAACAGTGAAGACTGAAGAGTCGTAAAATTCATGACTGTTGCTTATAATTTACGCATTTTTAGCCTTAACCTTGGTCTGCAAGCAATAGCCCAGGGTGACCAAAAAAATTAACAGTACGTACAGTTACATTTATGGGTACTTGTGTGTTTTCTGCCCTAAAATTGACCACATTTATTATGTTGTGATCATTGAATAATGCTATCATCTTTGATTCTTTGAACATACATACATGTTCAGAATTGATTCCCCAGTGACTAAACCATCTATACTAGTGAAATTGATATGTACAAATTTTACGAGTAGATTTATAAAGCATTTGAAATCTCGCGTTGTTTGATCTTAATGAATGAAAAAATGTAAATGTTTCTTTTTTAACTTGTTTATATGAACCCTAGAGACACGAATTCCGTAGCTACATCTGCTGTATTTTTTCTATAATCTTTCTTCATTAGGGTGGTAATGATGATTTCAAGTTTATGGAGTTGTTTGATTTGTAGAGTAACTGTTCTTAGTTTTAGTTTTGCAATTTGGTCTTACAATTCTCTACTCCAACACTTCAACTCTTATACAAATTTACCAATTTTAATTTTCACACTATTCCAAACCTTTATCACTCAATTCCAGTGATTCCACGCCTTTTCTAAACTCAACCAAACGGTCCACATTTTTATGGGTTATGACCTTATGGGTAGTAATCTCTTTTATAAGATAAGTATTTCTTTCTCTACAGAAAGCCAGCCCTAAATGCAATAGACTAACGACAAAGTTGTTTTGGTTATTTGGGCATTTTAATTTTCAATCGGACACATTTTCTACTTTTGGAATTTCACAAATAAATTATTTTATTTTTTATAAAAATAGATGTTCTATAGCTTATTGTGATACTTTTGGAGTATCATTCACACCATAATCTAGTTAATGGTTAATTATATAATATGATTATATGTTTTAAACAAGTGATGTTAAAAACTAACTTGATTTGAAACAACTAAGAGTGAGTTAGTCTATTATTTGATCAACTCATTGTAATTTGTAAAAAGTCAACAATTTCGGGCAATAGTGTGTGTAACCGTGTAACACCAGTATAGTGCAAACAACTCATGCATGAAACAACATTAACAATAGTATGGTAAGTAATGGGTGAGCTGGGTGTAATGACCCAATGAAGGATTCATAACGCCTATATATGAGTATATGACCCACGAATGCTAAGTTGTTGATTGGAACCACATCTTAACAACCAATATAATATAGTTTCAAATAGCCACATTATTGAGCCAAACTCATTATCAAGACTTTTATAAACCTATTGATAGGCCTGTTATTGTTCTAAACTAGCTAATATGTTCCTACTGGACACTCCCACATTCACTTCAATTTTGGGAAAAAAATTTCCCGAAATTAATCTAGAAGCATTAATTATAGTTGTCAATTTTGGACAAAGTATCGAGTTGTATAGGCCTGGAAAGGAAAGAGGACGAGATGCTTCATTTGGATCCCATGAGACCTTGGGAGACGATTTTGGTGGTTTGAACCGTCCACTTTGCTCTGCCTGTCAATTTAAATGGATATGTACATGTGACATGTCCTTATTTATTAACTCAAAGCCACTACGGGCCTCTATATGAAATATTAGTGTATATAAGTTTTCAAATAACATTACATGAACCCAAGATGCATTTCCTATCACCGCATGAGTTTTTGATTCTAGCTCATGGAATATACGAAAATGACTTGATTTTATGTATTACAGCCTTCAAAACTGACCTTTATAGAACATTTTTGAACTTGATAAGGTTTGGCATTGATGTGCTTTACGAGGTTCCATAAGGATCTCAAAAGGCCTACTTGGTGAAATCATCCATGCCTTACCCTTTGTTATCACGTTTTAAGATGTCTTGCCTTTGGCTTTGTTTAGTCTTGTGTTGCTTGGCCTTGTTTTGTCTTGTGTTGCTTGGCCATGCCTTGCCTTGGTCCTAAAGTGACACAATATGCTACCTTCAATTGCCAAAATTTGTGTTTTTAAGGATGAGGTGTTTATTTATGCCTTTTGCTCATTCCTCGTGCTCCATGCCCTTTGCCTAGGCCATGTCATGCCATCACCACATCGCGTCCCTTGACTTGGGCAATAGTGTCCAGCCCCCAGGCCTTGGCTAGTTAGTTTAGCACATCATCGCCTTAGGTCTGCTGAGATCATGGCCTTGTTCATACTGGTGTTACACACCCCATTATTCGAAAACGATCCAATCCTACTAGATCTGACCCAAACCCGACCGATGACCAAATTAACACCTCTTGTAGTCTTATTACTACCACTACTACTATTTGACCAACAAAAACAGAGAAAAGCTATACACGACCGTACTACTCCTGCTACCAAAATTAAATGTGCATGTTTTGGCAACTCTATTACCTTTACCTCTGCCTTTTCCTATCTTCCCATACCTCCTTTTCTCATTTATTGCTTCCCTCCTGCTATACACGACCGTACTACTCCTGCTACTCTGTTTGTTTTTTTTTTTTTTACTCAAAAGTAAGGAAGAATTAAGAGAGAGAAAATGGGAAGATCTCCATGTTGTGAAAAGGAGGGGTTGAAGAAAGGACCATGGACAAGTGAAGAAGATGAACTACTTGTTAAATATATCAACAAACATGGTCATGGAAATTGGCGATCTCTTCCTAAAAATGCAGGTTTTATTTTCAATTCCTCTGTTTTTCCCCTGTTTTTGATGTTGGGTTTTTGGAGGGTTTTAGCATCGATTTTTTGAATGAATTATGCCGCCCAAAGTAGAGTATTGGCTTATCATAGCTAGAATAGATTGTTTATGATGTAAGAATAATATATTTTGGAGTATTAGATCTCCAAAACCCATAATTTTGTTTTTTCTTCTTAAAACTCTTTTTTGGGTGTTTTTTTTTGGTGGAAATAAATTTGAGCAAATTAGCAAAAATTATTCATGAATCATAAGTGCACCTACTAGAGTGTGTAAGAGGCTTGAGTTCTACTCAGTGTCACGAATATAAACTAGAGTGTCTGGTAATGCACTTTATATATCCTGATTTTTAAATAAATTGACATTAAATTGTTGGTAGTAGTTGAAGTTACGAGGAAGTTATTACTCCTTATTTGATTTGTTTTTGGACAAAATTAAGATTTTATTTATGTCTAAGATAGTGCATAGATTTTTATCTTGAGGATTAAAGATTTGAAGAGCTGTGATTTGAAGATTTTTTATATTTTTTTTATTTTTTTTTATTTTTTTATTTTTTATTAATTGCAATTTAGTGGTATTATTTAATTTTAGAAATGCTTGAATTGCTTCACTTATCTTTGCTTGAGAATTGGATAGTTCTAAATTAGAGAAGATAATGCCAAGTAACCCCTACTCTTTAATAGTCAAATTCCCAAAAAAACCTTGTATTAGTAAATTTAATACTCAAAATACCCCCCAAGAGTGGACTCTTTGAAGTTAAGTCATGCCTATGCTTGTTTTTGGTCATCAACTTAGCAATTTGTGTAGTTCAAATCATGGTCCACATTTTAAGTTGTCACAATTAAAATGTTAAAAGAGAAATTGGTTAGACAAAGTGTTGAGTTGTACTATATATTTTAAAAATTTTACCATATGGCAAAATGATACTATATATTTGAGGATTGCATGACATAATTGATCTTTTGATGACAACTTTTATTGCTGCTGAATTAATAGCAAAATGTTAAACAAGTTCTTGAGAATGATTGATGTACTTGCAGGAAAATTGATGATAAACTTCCATTAGATTGTTACTTGTACAAGTTGTACAATAGAGACCTGTCCATGATTACGCGGTTGTGGAGATGAGCAAAGGCTTTTTTTTATCCAGTGCCATTTATTTTTTTTGTACTTTCGGTTTACCATTGCCTTGAAAAAGACGATAGGTCAAACTCGAGACATGCATGTTTCCATTGCATTTCGCGTAATGATCTGACTTCAGATTTAATCCGATCTGTTGATGTTCTTGGTTGTCATAGTGTGTTTACAGTAGCAAAAGATGAAATGAACAACACATTATTGTGTCAACACATTGTTGTGTTGCTTGTTAACATAATAACATGCTTTGCAACCATCCATCACTAAATTTCGCGTTTATCTTTTTCCCTTTGAAGAGAAAATTTCATGTTTGTTGTAGAACAAGTCTTGTCATATATGATAGGTAATTGATTTATGACCTGGTTTATATGGAACTTAAAATTGATTAGTATTTCGACTATTTCCTTCTTTGCAGGTCTCCTTCGATGTGGAAAGAGCTGTCGACTTCGTTGGACAAATTATCTTAGGCCAGACATAAAACGCGGTCCATTCACTCCTGAAGAAGAGAAGCTTGTTATACAGCTGCATGCCATTCTAGGCAACAGGTATTGTTTACTGAGTAGCTATAGCACAATAAAAGAACAAACCAATGTAAGCAGTGCTCATAAGATGAAAATTTGTGTTTCAGGTGGGCTGCAATCGCTGCACAACTACCAGGAAGAACAGACAATGAGATCAAAAACTTATGGAACACCCACTTGAGAAAACGGTTAATTTGTATGGGCCTCGATCCTCAAACCCATGAACCAGCTTCTACACCTGCTGGACCATCTACAAAACCCCCAGCATCGCCTTCTACACGTCACATGACCCAATGGGAGAGCGCTAGGCTTGAAGCTGAGGCTCGGCTTTCAAGTGAGTCTTTAGTGTGCCACCCGCATTCTGCTAGTTTCCTTGATTCTGACTACTTCCTTCGTCTTTGGAACTCTGAAGTTGGAGAGTCGTTTCGAAACTTTGAAATGAAGGAAAAGATTGCATGTCAAAGCCCAATCTCCCAAGCATCCACTTCTACCACAAAATGTGCCTCTACTTCAGGTCTGACAGTAGATAACCGAGATGAAGAGATCAAGTGTAAGAACTTTATCAAAACCGAAGTTCTTGATGTTAATACAAGATCAGATTCTTCGAGCTCCAATGAGTTAGAGGATTCATCTGAGTCTGCATTGCAGCTGCTGTTGGATTTTCCAGGATACAATGACATGAGCTTCTTGGAAGATCCTGTCGACAACTACTCTGATAACGCGTGTTTTTTTAAGTTTTACTGAGGATATCTGGGGTTTTTTCGGTCACATTTAGCAGTATATCTCTTAGTTAACGGTTATAGTTCTAGCTTTAAGCTTACCTGCTCTCCTAATCTAGTCATGTAAAATGTTCTGTTTCTTCTGATAGGATGCTTCCCTGAGCTGCAAAATAGAGGTTCATGTTCCTAGATCTGTTTTCTGATGTCGTGCTGCGTTTTGTAATTGTAATATTGTCTGTAGACTCTTTAAATGGCTTGATTGAAATATATGTATATGGTTTATTGCAAATGTTACGACTGAAAACAATGAACTTGAACTTCATCGACAAATATTTAAGCCTAAATTTGGCGAAAATGAGACATACTTGATCATCTGATTCTGAATTCAAGGCCAAAACCCAACCAAAAACTTATATCCAACCCGAATTTCCTATTGGCGAATAGAACAACATCAATTACAGCTATTACACTGATCTCTCACACAACTTGTTTACTCGCAAAAACAATCTTAACTAACGCAATCTAGTGCACTGCTACACTTTGAAACTGCATTAACCTGAGGTAACTATCTCTGCTGTGGATGATCTAAAATGAGATACAACCAAGGATCTTCTTTGGGGTATATCCTGTGGCTCGGTATTTAGCAGCCTTCTCCTGGATCATGAGAAGATCCTCGCCTTTTCTTGCTTGAACTATTGCCCTCTTCTCTTCTGTTTGCTTGTGGACTAGAGCTACCATGTTCTTCATCTTTTCTGCATACTCAGCCTTCTTCTTTTCAAGCTCTTCCTGCTCATTAAACACCCAACTCATTAAATTTAACCATGATCAATATATACTGCTGCACATATATGTATTACATGAATATCATGATTGAGGTACCTCGATATACTTCAGCTTAGCGTCGATGGATGCTTTCTTTCTGTTCTCCCAAGCGTTGAGAGCAGAAATCTGCTTCTCGGCCCTGTCCAGTACAGTAGGCAACGAACATCAACATTCAGTTTTCGAAAACTCCTTCTAGACACTATTAGATCAATAGTTTTGTCACTTATGTGCTGAGTTTCGATCATAGTAATGAACATTTACGACTTCATAGGATAATAATTGTAGGCTTTTAAAGTTATAGACACTAATCAAAGACACAATTCTAATGTTATCAAGCCACTAATCAGCAAGCAAATAAACTTTCTGCCTTGAAATATTTAACACCCTACCTCTAAATCTTTCTATACAAAATATTCTTGATGATATAATCTAAAATCCAATTTTTGTTACATTTGATCTCAAACTTAAAGTAAGCATGCTAGAAGGTATGTCACAACATCATGCATAGTTGTTTTTTAAGTTAATAGAGATTCACAATAGACGAGATTCGACCATATGTCTTAGGCATAACCCACGTACGTCATGTAACATGACATGACGATGAAAAAAAAACTTACTTGTTGACTGCTTTAGATTGCTCGCTTTCTTCCCACGCCTTAATAAAAGACAACCTCTTTTCCTGCTCAACATGTGCTAGTGCAATATCTGCAACAACCATAGTACAAAAAAGTGTAAATACAACATTTATTCTAACTATATCAACTCTGACAAATATCATATTTAATGAAGCTTTTTTTGTTTTTTTTTTTTATTTTTTTTATTATGTCATATTTTGTCTTCCAATTAAATAAATATGAGTGAACTGAAAATTATGTGCCACTATAAACTCACCCCTGTCAGATGATTGTCTACTTCTTTGAGATTCAGCCTCTTCAGCTTCTGTTAATTGACAACATATGTATTAGACATTCTATTCGTAATTAGAATTTCAAGAAAATGTTTGTTTCATGGAGAAAAAACAAAAAAATTCAAAAAAGATACCCCTCAAGTATTTTACTTGATAACAAATGATCATATGCTCATAACATAATATTTAATATCTTATGTTATGAGCACGTGTGCAAGAGAATGTGAGAGGGTGTAAAATTACACTTGAGTGTATAATGGACATAGAAAGAAAGAGAGAATGTAATACTTTCAACTACAGGAACGATAGTCTCAAGAATTGCCGGGGCCGAGGGAGGAGTAGTAGCCTTTGACTTCTCCTCGGTGATGCCGGATGATGATGAAGAAGATGGTGTAGCAACAGCCGTTGGTTTGCTCTCCACAATTTTCTTAATCTCCTTTTCTGCCATTTTGTTTTCTTGTAGCTATGTTTTTATTTGTTCTAAACCAAGTTAAATTGAGGTCTATTTATGATCTATCTTTCTTCTAATGCCTGCCGTTTTTTGGTATGAACTTGTAGTATAAACTATTTTTAAATCTTAATCAAAATTCAAAATGACAGAGATTAAGGAGACATTATCTCATATTTATAAGAAAAATGTATGCTTTCATACTTTTATTAGTGGGCTACCATGTTACCAACTTATAAACCTTTTTTTTTTTTTTCTTTGTAAGTGAATTATTCAAAGAATTTTTAAATGATTAATGTTTAGGTACGCAAAAACGTCTTAATTAATTTTATTGCAAACTATAAATGTTTAATAAATAGAACTACTTTATTCAAATAAATAAATAAATAAATAGAACTACTAGTGCATTATTTTTTCCTAATAGTGGACCTCAATAAAAAGAGGGGAAAATAATAATAATAATAATAATAATAATAATAATAATAATAATAATAATAATAATAATAATAATAAAAAAAAAAAAAAAAAAATAAAAAATAAAAAAAATAAAAAAAACAAAAAAGAAAAAGAAAAAAGAAAAAGAAAAAAGAATAAGAATATAATACTTGCATTGTATTAAACACCACGATTTAGCATAGTGCTCAAGCTCAACTTTCATTCATATAAAATTTGTTTTTCCAATGTTACTCTAATAAAATAAAAAATAATCAATTAATACTAGTATTAGTACAACACTGGATAATTGAAACATAAAATAGTTAGTCCAATGAGGAAGACTGAATTAGAAATATAATTGCCAGCTAAAATTGGAAGGACAACAACTTTGAATCAAAGGAGCTAGACGTGTTCAAAATACATGAAAGCCACCACCTCATTACTAAGTTGCTCTCACAACTAACTCCTAATTGAGTACGTAGTACTTTGTTTTACTTTTGAATTTTGTCTTCTTATAATTTATCATTTAACTTTACATAACCAAATTTCCCAGCATTTAGACCCATATTTAGTTCACATTATCTTAATTCTCCTGGCTAATGTGATTTGATTTATTCTAATCTAATTTGATGTAAACTTTTTTCGAGAAGTGAATTGAAATTTTCAAATTATAATACAGCTATTTTTAGCACAAGTAAAAGTCAGAACCACAAGTCCAGTTCACTGTCCATCTTCCTTCTCCGCTTTGTAACTTGAAATCCAAAATGAAAACATAAACATAAACACCGGAAAAATGGCAGCAGATGCATCCGATTGAAGAAAAAAGACAGTAACATCAACCGCGGCAATCACTGACTTAGCTCACTCAACGGCATTCTCTCCCACCTCCTCATCAAATACGGCCAAACATATTTTTTTCGATACTTAAGACAATGTAACAGCAGATTTCCGGCCACAATTTCCAGCAGAATTCTCAGCTCTCCCTACTACTTGAAGTGGTCATGTTAACGAAGCAGTAATTAAATATATCTTGTCTAGTTTTACTGAGTAAAATGGTTAGTAGCTGCTGCTCCTACGTAAAGTTTATTGGCATAGGATACAAAATCACTTCGCTAGAATAACAAGTGTTACATACATCAACAAACAAAGCCTGTTCCAGTCAAATTTTGCTTTTCAATGTTAGTAGACCAAACTAGACAAAGAAATTAGAGTATAATGGAATATAGGCTTGTATGGAGTATCTGATAAAACTTGAATAGAAACTCGTGTGATTAGTATTTGGCAAAATCTTGAATGTAATCCGACCAGAAAACAAACTGAATAGCTTATCACTCGAATCAATCCAAACTTAACAGCCAATTTGCCTTGCATACTTCTTATATAGAGAAGTATCATACAGTGTACTTCGTACTTGACGCACCCAAGGCTATAAACTGCTCATTTGGAGCTACGAATGAGTGGATAAAATGCTTTGTTATACCTAATTCTAGGAACATCAGGATGTGGTAGAAATTTATAGGGAAACCACCATTAAATTGTTTTTGACCATACCTAAACTAAGCCCCCTAAATTCCTTCACGAGCATCACAAGTGCAACCATGCAATTCTTACGCTTTATTGTTAAGATTAACTACCAATAGCATCCAAGGAGATAGCAAATCTCAGCTATTTGGAAAGTTTTTTTACTTTTAGCATCCTTGATCAGACCAGCAAGTATAAAGCATCTCTTCTGATGAAAAAAGGTTTAGTGTGCTCAAAACAAGGAAGCATGAGAGAACATCGAAAAAGAAATATACATTTGAGAAAAGGTTTTAGTACAGCCTTGAATCAATACTTATGAGTTATGACTCATACGTTCTAGTAGCAGGTGTATTCACAATAAAACAGTACATTAATAAAACTTTCAGCTAAACATTGAACTTAAGAGGAATGGATAAGCAAGCATTGGTTGCAATAGAACCACTATACAAACTCTCACCCACAAAGGCAAAGAGGGTTGTAATTTTAGGCATATGTAGCACTGATTAAATGAGTATAGGGAAATTAGCCAAGAGCCAGCGACAAGAAAAAGTGGAGGATATTACTCATTATTATTAACAAAGAACTTAATCTCATATTCCAAAATCATCAAATGTGTCCTCTAAGTTCTAAAGCTCCAAACAAGTGTAAGATGCTAGTAGCCTTAATTACTTGCCAAGTAAATCAAAAGCTCAAAACTAATAGCCAATGAAATGGATGGGCCAAGCAGGGAAGCGTGAAAGCCTCAGGCATATGACTCAAAAGCAAAAGCTATATAAGAACTATGCTACCTAAACTCGAGCAACGATCATTGTTAGTTTATGGACCCAAGGTTAATTGACCGAGTTTTATCTCAGTTTATCCCATTTCAACTGTTCAAGAGTCTAAACAAGCCATCAATCTAAGTAATCGAGGGTCAATTGAGCTCAAATTCCGTAGGTTGGAACAAACAAGCCTACATAAGATTCACTACAGCAATAATCATCAAGAACATTTACATGAACAATTAAATTGACAATACATATGGTCAGCAGACTCAGCACCCAATTTCATACATTCTTTATTCTCCAATTCCATGTAATATCATGTCTCATGTGAGCAATCCTAGTCTCTATAATGCAGTAATCAGTATACAACTCCAAAAATTAATCATACGCCG